TTAGAGTTTTCTAAGAAGGAGGAAAATTGAGCTGAGTGACCACCAGCTTTGGAAAAATCTGCTTTGAGCAGGAAATGACTGTGTCCTGTTACCAGAGAATTTATTTGGAGCATTGTAAAGGTCGTGGCAGCAGATGGCAGAGAACGGGCTTGAAGGGTGGCAGGGTTCTGCATGCCTTTGAAAAAGCATTTTCACACTCATGTTGAGTAGCTTGTGATAAAGTAGGTTAAAAATTGTCCTTTTCAACAACTTTGTGTACTCGCGTGCAGACTGAATCAGAATGTCAGTGCCTTACAACGAATGCTCATGGCTGTTTACTCACCAATGGAAATAAAGGCATGGTTCCTCAAATGGCTTCAGAGAGTCTACACGCTGTTTCTTTGGGACACTGGAATTGTGTGACCTGTAATGTCAGTTCTGTAATCAGGGGCCCATCCGAGCAGATCAGAGCCCAGTTATTACACTGAAGCAAACATCTGGTGGGTCAGTGAGGATGGGGGTGGATGCTCTTGAAACAAATCCACACTCACCTTTTGGTTGATATATATAAACGAGTACACAATGTGCACTGATAAAATGCACACACCTCAAGTGCTGAGTTTGATGTTTTGACAGGTGTATACTCCTGTGCAGTGACAACCCAAAAGACACAGCGTGTGACCACTGGCCCAGAGAGCTCTTGTGTACCTCTGAGACCATCTCTGAGTCTCTCACTTGGCTTTTATCGCTAAAGGTTTGTTTTGCTTGCCTTTGGATGTTATATGGATGAAACTATAATCTGTACTCTCTCACGTCTAACTTCTTTCGCTTACAGTGCTTTGGAGACACCTATATTGTGTGTGTCTGTAGTGTGTTCTTTATGGCTGAGTAGTATTTTATTCTACAAATACACCACAGTTTGCTTACCCTTTCTCCCATGGAGGGACTGTTAGGTTGTTTAGGGTTTGGGATAATTACGAATAAGGCTGCCATCGTTATTCTTACACAAGTTTTGTTATTTCGATGGATGTTTTCACTTCCTTTAGGTAAGTACCTAAGAGTGGCAAATTTCCAGGTCATGTGATAATTGCATGTTTTCCTTTATGGGAAACTGCCCCTGTTCTACAAAGGGGCTTTTACTTGTCCGTCCTCCTGTCAGCGATGCAGGAGCTTTCTGGCTGCTCCACATCTCTGTCAACATTTACTGTTATCAGTGGTTTATATATTTGTTATTTTGGCAAGGATGAAGTAACTGATATTCATTTATATTGCATTTCCCTGATGCTTAGTAATAAGTACTTCCTTGTACTTATATTCCATTTGTGTATCTTTCACGACGTGTCTTTCATGTCTCTTCCCATTTTAAAATTCAGTTCTTCTATTGTAGGTATTATTCTTTGAGTTCTGGATGCAAGTGCTGTGATGGATATAAATGCTGCTTTTATTTATTTATTTTTAAACGGTGGCTTGTCTGTTCTTACTGGGATTTTGGATGAGGAGAAATTTTTATTTTCATTAAGTCCACTTGTTTTTCGCTTATGATTTTATGATCTCAAGGTTGTAAAGGACATGTTTTCTTTTAGAAATTGTTTGGGGTTTGGGGCCAGCAGTAGCGTAATGGCTGTCGCTGAACTCCCATGTGGTCGACTGTGGTTCCCATCCTAGACCCGGTGGCTTAAACTCAGGCCGGGCGCATGAGTGTGCGTGCCCAAGATCCTGAGAGGACAATGGAGAAGGGATGTGGCATGGCCATCCCCCCTGGAGGGTGACTTCTTCTTTCTCTCTGTCTCTCTTTGTCTTTCTAGTGAATATACACACCCTATAGCAAAAACCTCTCAAAACAAACAAACAAAACACACACAAGCAAAAAACAAAACAAAAAACTATGCATTGCCTCTGCTTTGCCCACATTGTAATAGATCCCTGTTGAGTATACTTGTAGCATCAGGAATGGGTATACTTGAAAAGCCTCATGAAGGCCCCTGGGGACTCACATTATTTTAAAGTGGTAGCTAAGCTCCCAGGAGCTTTGGGCATGGGTTTTGGGAAGGCTGGACATTTTCAAAAAGGGATGAAGTGTTAAGGAGTTGCCCTACTAGTGACATCAGATCAAAGCTGGCTGTGGAGCCTAACAGTAGAAACGGTGTATTAAAATATTAAAAATGTAGAAATTTGGGGCCGGCAGGTGGTGTGGTGGGTGAGGCACTGGTTTAAGTCCTGGACTTGGTGGCCTCTTTCTCACTTTTCTTGTCTCTGGTCAAATTTTTAAAAAATGAATGAAATAAAAAATGTAGAAACTCAACCTAGCTCCTTCTTTATGCATCTGTTGGGGACGTTGAGAAGTTACTGAAGCCTGATCCTTGGCCACCAGCCTAAAACCAATAATCGCCATTTTGCCCTGTCAGCTGTATGATTTCGGTGACTTTGACGTTCAAGGAAGTTTCCCGGAGAACCAAAAACCCAGTGTGACAAAATTAACATACTCTATGCCATTTCTGGGATTGTCCTGTGAGGATAATTATGCTTTCTGAAGAAATGTTTCTGCACTCCAAACTGGCCGAGCTTCTTCCATCCTCAGGGCCTTGGAGCAAGTTTTTCTTGTCCTTGCAATTCTTCTCTGGCCTGCACATCTTCTGTCCCCCTTCCCCCAAACGAACGCCTTAGCCTTTAGGTCCCGCTTGCAACATCCTTCACTCCGTGAAAATCGCCCCATCAAAACGACTAGACTGGATTACCCTGTCATTTGCTCACCTCTATTTCCCCTTCTTAGCATTTACTATTCCATCATAATTCTAGTAATAGTTATGTTGTACTTTCACTTAATTTTTATTTTTTCTCTATTACAGGAATAGGTAAAATTTCCATACACTACAAAACCCAAGTTGTACAAAAGGTATAGAGTAAAAAGTTGTCTTCTTTTTTCCCTGGCCCTCTGCTGCCCAGTTCTCTCCCGAGCAATAACCATATTAAAAAAAAAAAAAAAAAATTGCCAGTGGGTGTGTGCACTTGCCAGAGAGAGAGAGAGAGAGAGAGAAGGAGAGAGAGAGAAAGAGAGAGAGAGAAAGTTATGGGGAAGTACCCCCCAATTGGACATGGTCACACTATAACCTTTTCTCATCTCGATCTTGTCAGGATTTGGGGCACACACACACATATATACCTAATGAGTTTTTTTTTTTAATTTGCTTTATAGCATGAGAAAGAAAGTGAGAAAGCAAGCCGCCAGGTTTGGGACTCAAACTGCCGTCAGCTTTGTAGAAGTCCAGCACCCCAAACATCATGCCACCTGCTGGCCACCCCCGATGAATTTTTTAAGCCCCTAGGGTTGGGACTCAGACTGCAGTGGTTCCATGTGAGATCTGGCTCCCTTAACCACCAGGCTACACGCAGGCCCCATGTTTCACATTTACAGAAATAGTTACTGAATATACAAGTAATTATGCACATAATCTATTTTTGCTCTGTATTAACATTATGTGCATTTTCTGCGCTTGGTTTTCATGTTAATGAACCTTGACAATTCTATATGAATATGTAAATACTGTAGTTACTTCTTTTCAGGTGCTTATAGACTATCCTCTGTTATTGGGCATTTAGGTGATTTTCAAATTTTGGTTGTTAGAAACAATGCTGAATAGAATACTTTTGCATGTAAACTCATTTCCCACATCTATACCTCTAGGATAAACCTAGAAGTGAAATAACTGAGTTCAAGTTCAAGTGCATTTTAATTTTGGCAGTTATTGCCAAAGTGGTCTCAATGGAGGTTTACACATTCATATTCCCACTCTGGATGAAGAATGCGCTTTTTCCTCACAGCTGTGTCAGTGACGTTTTTGTTTTGTTGTTTGTTTTTTTGCATGCACTCTCCAGAGAGTGCAGGAAAGTGAGCAATCACCCCTTGGGGGATGGCCACGCTGCAATCCTTCCCCAGGCTCTCCAAGCACCAAGTGGGCCGTGTGGGATCGAGCGCCTCAATCTGCCACCTGCTGGCCAGTCGCGTGATTTTTGTTCATCGCCAATATGAGATGGAAAGTACCTCTGGGAAACTTTAATGTACTTTTTTTTCCTTGCAGAGTTATGTTTTCACAGGTTTACAAGCCATTTGTATTTATTTATTTAGGGACTGTCTTCAGCTTTGCTTACTTTATTAGTTAGCGTCTGACTGACTCGCTACACTCTAAGGTCAGACCTTGGCGTGCTGGGATTTTATATGTTTTGTCCATTCATGGCACCTGAATGAATGAAGCTTAAAGAATGACTGGCGCGGGTCACGCCGTAGGCAAGTCCAGAATTTATATTCGGCTCCAAAGCCCACACGGTTTCCCAATAAAAAGACTAAGCACTCAATTCACCGCACCAGGGGCCAGCCAGGTCGCGCAAAGGCTGAACGCACGCTGGGAAGTGAGGACTATGGCAAAAGAAGATATGCTTAGGTCGCAGCTGCTACTCACATCTCTGTTTTACTGCCGTTTCCCAGTTCCTGCAATCCGACCAGCCGCAGCAGGGTGAGCTCCGGCGTGCAGGAGCGGCGGACGGGAGGCGAGCACGCGTGGACAGACAGCGCAGGCGCGGAGTGTAAGGCGAGAGTGGGATTTCCGGCCGCAGGGTCCGGCCTGGAGCGCAAAGGCCCCGGACGGAGAGTTGGACTCCACGCTGTGCGGAGTCAGGCGGGGACGGGGGTCCGGCCAGTCCCGCCAGCGTAGCCGGAGGTGGCGCGTCTAGACCCGCGACGGGCCCTAGGCGCTCCAGCAGCGCGCTCCCTCGCCCGCCACTCTCCGGCCCAGGCCGTGTGGAGCGGACCGCTTGCTCTCTCGACTTCCGGAAGCGCTCGGCGGTCAACTCCCCGCCCTCTTCTGGCTCCTCCCACCTTCCCTACATCTCCGACTTCCGTTCGCCTTGTAGTCTGGGAAACGCCAACTTCCGGCCGCGCAGCCGCGGGCGGAGCCAAGATGGCGGAGGAGGCGCTCGCGACGGTGAGCTCCGGGGTTCTGAGCGCGTCCCTCCGCGGGTTGGGACTCAGACTGCAGTGGTTCCATGTGCGATCTGGCTCCCTTAACCACCAGGCTACACGCAGGCCCCACGGCTCACATCTCCAGAAATAGTTACTCAGCACACAAGTAGTTATGCACATCATCTCTCTGTTTTCGCCTGTATTAACATTAGTGCATTTTCTGCGCTTCGTCTTCATATGTTAATGAACCTCGGCAATGCTTCATGAATATGTAAATACTGTACCTACCTCTTTTCAGGGGCTTATACACTAAGCTGGGCCTGGCCGGCGGCGAGGCGGGCTGGCGGGCGGCCTC